GAGAGAGAGAGAGCCTCTGACTGATGAGAGAGAGAGAGCCTCTGACTGATGAGCGAGAGGATGGAGAAAGCATCGGACAGAGAGCGGGCTGACGGGCCACTAAGCAGGGCTCCAATCGGTTTCTGAAAGCTTCAGCTTTAGGACCAGGAAGGAGGATGAAGATGTCATGTCAGACTTTTGATGATGGATCTGATCAATTTCCCTGAGTTTTATTTCATCCCTACTGACCACCAGAGGGCACTGCTGAGCTCATTGAATGCACCTTTGAACCCCTGGATGACCACCCAGAAGCTACCCGCTAAGGCTGGCCTGGACGATGCACCAGCAGATGATCCTGCTGTTGCCTCCTGAGTCCCTGATGACCTCCTGAGTTTGGCTTGGAATCAGCATCACGTCCAGCATCTGTGGCTCCTCCAAGCACGTTCACCAGCGTCTACTACACCAACATGGCTGCTCCTCCTCCCCTGGGCCGAGCCCAACATGGCCGCTCCTCCTCCCCTGGGCCGAGCCCAACATGGCTGCTCCTCCTCCCCTGGGCCGAGCCCAACATGGCCGCTCCTCACCGCCTGGGCTGAGCTCTTTTACGAGGTCAAACTGGACTCTCTCATTGAGGTTTTGTGTTCAGGATTCCTGATTCCATGGTTGGTATCAGTCATTCAGTGCTTTCAGCGGCGCCCTCTGGTGGTCAGTGATGATGAAATAGAGCTGTAGTTCCTTTTCTCTGATTTCAGAGGCGCCTTCCAGAACATGATGGATCAATCATCCCATCAGATTAAGGTTTGACCCAAAAGCAGTGTTTGGGTCAAACCTTCATCTGAGAGGTGTTCTTCTTTTACCCTGTTTTCAGTGAGATGCTGATGAAATGAAAAGCTTCTCCTGTTCAGAGCGTTAAGCTCTGATGTTCTGATGTAGAATGGATCCATTTTCCTTGGCGTACCTGTGCGGCAGCCATGTTGTCAGCATCCTCCTTCTTGCTGGTTGCCGGGTAGAAGACGATGTTGTCGACGGTCTGGATCAGTTCCAGCTGTACGACACATTTAATCAGCAGGCCAGCAAACAGCCTCTGGTCTGAGACTCCTGCAGGAGAGAAACGAGAGGAGCGTCTAACCCGAAGGTTCCTTCTGCGGCTCACAGGTCTGCTGGGTTTACTCACGGGCGTTGGACCTGCCCTTCCAGGTGTCGTCGCTGGACATCTGGCTGTGTCCCCTCTCAGACAAAGCTCTGTCATAGCTGCTCTGGGACTGAGTGTCAAAGTCAGCCTCCTGCAGAACAGACAGCAAAGAGTCAGAGGTCCGAGTCTCTCCTGTCAGGAACCGTCGGATGAAGGCCTGTGGCTCCTTACAAAGTGCTTCCCCTCGGCCGCCTCATCATCCTGTCCCGTCGGTCGCCATGTCAACAAGCTGATCAGAGCACAAAGCAAACGATTAAACGGTGGGCGTGGAAAAGACCCGCATCCTGCCGCAGAATGAATCCGTCACTCACGCATGAGGGCTGGTGTTCTGGAAGATCTCCAGCATGCAGGAGCAGGTGACGTTCCAGACCTCTGGGCTGAACTTCTCCCCATTCAGGATCACCAGGTTCTCCAGACAGTTGGTCCCTGATCGGGCCAGCTGCTCGTTATCTACAGGAGAAAGGAAAACAACTCAACACTCGTTCCTAAAAGTTAAAGTCAATCCGCTGGACTTTGTTTGAAGACGTTTCTCTTCCATCCAGGAAACTTTTTCAATTCAAAATGTCAGAAATAGCGTTGATGGTATATAAATGGGTATTTGAGGATAACAAAGAAACAAAACAGAACGACCCCTGTTCCAAAGGGGCGGACCCGTTCATCGGGTTTAATCTGCATGTTTTCTGAACCAAAACCAGGCTTTGCTTTGGTCCACGCTATAAAACCTGGAACTCAACGCTGTTTCTGGCATTTTGAATTGGATTGTTTTGAACTTTTTTGGAATAACTATGACCTGGATGACTGAAAATCTTCACCAGCAATTCCTGACTTTATGGGTCAGATGGGCTTCAGCTTCATTTACCAACAAACTGAGCAAAACCAAGTGGAACTCCAGCAGGAGAAACCTGATCAGTTATCCACCGCCATCTCCTCAAGCTTCCTACCTTGCCTCACGCACCACTGCAGCTGCGTGAAAATGTCCTCCAGTAAAATCTCACTGAGCGGCTGGTAGAACTGGGTGAAGACGTCGCAGACGGCGTACAGTGCGTGGTTACACGTCGTGGTCATCCACTCGATTTTCTGGAAGAGAAACACGTCGGTGAGGACTTTGGCGCCCATCAGGAAACGCTCCTTTCCTTGAACTCTGACCTCGGTCTGCTGTTCCGGCAGCTTCATGTTGTCAAAGATGCGGAAGACGATCCTGAAGAGGTCGTGCCACCAGTGCTTCTCGAAGGTGTGGCCGTAGCTCTTCATGATCTCGAACATCACCGTCAGACCTCTGCGGCGAGCAGCAGCAGACAAGAAGATCCAGACGTTAAAACCCAGAAGTTAAACCTAAATCTGGCCTCAGACGTTCCTCCATCAAGCTGCTGTTAGCTTAAAGTTGGGCTGATGGATTAAATGGATCCGTTCATCAACTCTGCTTTTTCCTCACCTTTGAACTCTTTGCTTCCATAGATTAACTGGGATCGTTTTTCTGTTATGAGCTCAGTGGGTGAACAGTGTTGTTTTCGTCAACGATAACAAAATGATTTCGTTGACGCTCCTTTTTTTTCATGACGATGACGAGAACTGAGTAGCTAAACATGGATCTTTGATTACTAAAACATGATTAGTAAAGGTTTTAGTTTGCGTCAACGAGACTAAATCAAAATTAGCGGCTGGTCGGTTTTAAACTGCATCATTATGTTGTAATCTGCTAAGCAGTATCTGCCGTGCTGCTACGTCCCGTTTCTTCACGCCGCCCACCTGTCGTGCAGCGGTGCACATCCTGCATGACCACACATGGATCAGCGGCAGGGGATGGAAATAAGCTGGAATGATCCGGTTCTGGGCTCTGAACTCTGAAAAACTCTGCTCTTCCAGCTGTGGTTGTGCAGAAATGCGTCATTGCGTAGCTTAGCTAAGAGTCTGCGCTTTACGCTCCACTCTGATGCTTCGCTCTCAACAGTACGACTCTTCCTGCTCTCGCTACTTAATAAACTAGATGTGGCTGATCATCCTCTGCCTAGCGTACCTATGTCTAACTATCAAGATTTTATTTCTTCCAGCTCACAAGAGGTGATGCTAAACTTCTTTCATTTCTACCAAAAGGAATCCCTAAACTATATCAAAAGAAAATATTTCATTGCATTCTGTTTATTTCTGGATATAGATCCAGATGAAAAGGTTCATAGATCTTTAAATATTTCTCTCTCATTCTTCTCGTTTCTATTTAAATATGATGTAAATGTTTCCTTGTATTGTCATTAAAACATTTTCTCTGTTTCCTTTAATTATTTCAACATGGGTTGCCATGGCAATTATGCAGGTTCTCTCTGTATATTTATTTTATATCAAAACCCTGTGAAATTAAATCTACTTCGACCCCAGAGCAGCAGTAACAAAGGGGTGAATTCAAGAAATAAAACCAAATAATTTCAAAAAATAGAAAGAACAATGTTTT